GGCGAGGTTTCTGCTTCAGCCATGGGAAGCAGGGACGGTGAAAGAAAGGGGAGAAATAATAGAAAAACAGACGGAGAAACAGAGAATCGTTTAGGGTCGATTAGAGAGGGAAAGAAGACCATGACTGGGTCTTGGAAAATGCAAAGAAGACATGACTGTAGACTTTGAATATTACCAAGGAGGTGAAAGGGGAAGGTAGATCCTCAAATCCACCCTCTCAGACGTGGGTGGGAATAGATCCGCACTCAGAAAGATGCAATATCAATTCTCCCTTTACATTAAGATAAATCACCTTTATAAAAAAAGATACAGCATCAATTCTCCTTTTAAATTATAATAAGATAAGTTATTTATTATTTAACAAACATCTCACGGATAGAATTTTAATATTACATATTAAAAAATAAATAATTTATTTTAATTTACAATTTAAAAAGATAATTTATTATTATTATTTTTTTAAAGAATAGATGTGACCTATCCCCATTTGAGGGGTAGATTTAGGGTATGTTTAAGGTTTTAGGGTGTGTTTAAGATTACTGTAAAGTGTTATGAATGTAATTGTGATTATGGTTATATTAAATTGTATTGTATTATAACTATGATTAAAAGTATTTTAATGTTTGATTATTTATTTTTTAAAAATATTATGAATGAAATATAATAAATTGTATTAATTATTAATTAAAATTTTAAAAATATTATAAGATATATAATTATTAAAAAAATAGTATTTATTATTTTTAAATAATTTAAGTTTTTTTAATTTGTTATTATTATTAAAATATTATAAATTATTATATAATTAAATTAGGTTAAATGCTAATTTTGGTCCCTCAACTTTATAGGTTTGACTTTTTTCATTCTCAATTATTTTTTTGCACTTTTTTGATCCCTTAACTTTAAGAACTGTATAATTTTGATCCTTCCATCAATTTGAACTGTTAATTTCATCCATATGGCATTTTTTATATTTTTCCTTATGGCATAGATGATACAACTTAAAAAGGATGTTGAAATGGATGCCATACCATATTCATGTGAATTAAATACTTCAAAATGCCTCTCGAGTGGGTCCCACGTTGCACTGCAAAGATTAAATAAATGGATAAAATATTTGTAAACCCTAAAATGCTCTCTCATCTCCTCTCCATCTGCAACATCGATCTTAACCCATATCTTCGTCTTCTCTTTTCTCACTAGAACGTTCTTCCTCAATCTATCTTCTTCCTCTTTTTGTTCCAATTGAGATTAAACCCAACAAAATTTGGGTTCTATGTCGTCAAACCCAACTGTTGGGTTTCGTTGAAGCCACTTGCTGGGTTTGATGAACCTAGCAGATCTCATCAAATCAAATTAACTCCTCAATAAACAATGTCAATTAAACTCTAATCAAATTCCAACAAAATGCAATCAAATTGTAAATCAACTCCCAAATTTATCAAGAATTGAGAATGGAAATCGAAAGAAGAATGAAAAAACATGGTGAACTTGACAAACTCAACTCTAAAGAAGAATGGAAATCTGTAGATCTGGGTCTAGACGAACCCAGCACTTGTGCAGAGTCTCGTCGAACCTAGCACTTGTGCAAGGTCTCGTCAAACTCAGCACAGCTAGGTCTCGACGAACCCAGTAGCTGGGTCTGTCATAACCCAATCGATCTGGGTTTGGTCACCAAACCCAAAGGTAGGAAAGAAAGAAAGAGAAAGAAAAAAGAGGAAGAAGATGGATCGAGAGAGTGAGGGTGAGGGTGAGGCTAATAACATAATTTTGTTTGTTTTTATTTTTTTATTAAAATATAAATATTAATTTAACGTGACATTTTTTTTGTCTATGTAACATAATTATAAGATATGTTACTGTCACATCATCAAAAACATTAAAAAAAATACCATATGGAATTATTTAACAGTCACATCATATTTAACTGACGGAGGGACTAAACTTGTGCAATTTTTAAAGTTGAGAGATTAAAAAAGTGCAAAAAATAATTGAGAGATCAAAAAAGTGCAAACCTATAAAGTTAAGGGATCAAAATTATCATTTAACCATTAAATTATATGAAATTGGGTTTTAATAAGTAATTTTATAATTATATTAAATATTAAGTGTTTTCTATAAAACTTAAAAGTTAAAAGTTAAAAAAATAAGACTTTTGATTTTATATATAAATTTACTGTAATTTTACTGTAATTTTCTAAAATTTAAAAAAAAATTGAGAAAAAAATATCAAATACATATATATTCAAAAATATTATATGAATACACTAAAGAGTTTTCAACCATAATTCCAAATGCACCTTTAGAGGTTTTGCCAGACGAGGAAGAGGACAATCGGCCCGGGCGATTGAAGGGAACGTACTTGATTTGTGGAGATTTTGGTGCGAATTGGTACGGGAGTAGGGCTATAGACAGTTGGGCCGACGGGTGGATTAGGTTAGGGTCGGATTGGAATGCGTACAAATTAGACGAGCCAGACCAAAATGGACCATCAATTAATAAAGGTTCACTCTATCTCACCTATCATGAGTTGTCCATAAAAATTACAATCATGAATAAATAGATTTCTATTCAAGTAATTTAGTATATAAATTTTTAAAATGTTTTTTCTTTTTAAATTTTAAAATATGTAGTTAAAAACATCAATATAAGTGAATTTCTACTTAATTAAGATATATTTGTATATACCTCACTCTCCCAATTAAACAATAAAACTAGAGATAGATGAAAGGCAACAACTATAGATAGATTCAAGCTAATTAAGCTGAATGGATGCTTGTCAAGCTCTAACTTGAACTCGTCCATAATTAAATGTACAAATGTCAAAACGTTAATTTTTTTCTTTGTCATAACCCAATTTTAATTGGGGCTAAATGATAAAATTAGAAGGCAATGGACTGGTTTTTATAAAGGCTGGAAACTTGAAGGGCTGAGAAGAAAAGTGGAAAAACGACGTCGTTTT